ATATTTTAGAGAAATTAATAAAAAAAATATTTTTATAAACTAACTTAACATAAAATTATTTTAATTTATAATATTTTTCTCTTACTTTTCTCACCTAAAAATATCTATGAAGAAATTATTTAAACATATTATGTTTATTTCATTAACGGATTCTAACATGAAGTAGGGAAAACTGTCCCTCATGGATGAATCATTAATTTTAGTCATTAGATATATTAATAAAAAAAATCAACGTATAAGATTGTTTTCCCATCTTTTTTCAATTGATAAGGCAATCCACACAACCAGTAATTTGTTTTTCTCAACTCATCCCCGTCGAACCACTGTGGTTGCGCTCATCTCTGTCGAACCATCGTGGTTGCACTCATCCCTGTCGAACCCCGTCGAACCACTGTGGCTGCGTGCACAGCGGCGTCGTCAGTCACTGTGACCGCACGCGTAGCGGCGTCACCGTGGCCGCACACGCAGCAGTGGAACCTAAGGTTTCCAATTTCTTTCCTCTGCTCGTAATCTAATTTTGCTATGGCTAACCGGAGAGAATGAGATTTGTTCCACGGCGACGCGATCGATCCCTTGAATGGCGAGGGTTTTCGATGATTCCTCTTTGGTGGACAGCGACGGTGGCTCGTCACTGTGGCCGCACGTGCAGTGGCAGTGTCACCGTGGCCACATGTACAACGGCAGAACCTAGGGTTTCCAATTTCTTTCCTCTGCTCGTAATCTAATTTCGTTATAGTTAACCGGAGAGAACGAGATTTGTTCCATGACGACGCAAATGGCGAGAGTTTCGATAATTTCTCTTCAGTGGACAACAACAGCGTCGTCATCGTGACCGCACGCGCAGCGATGACGGCGCCACTATAACACTCAAATATTTTTATAATTTTTTTATTATATTTTTTCAGTTAAAAACCTATTATTCCTAATTACTTCATGTTAGATTCCGTCTATTTCATTTAAAAGATATGCGATTTAAGTGTATTATATAACAATTTCAAACTCTTCCATGCGCCATTTGATTCACTTACAGAGCACTGAGCACCATGTGAACTTTTCAAAGCACACCATGTCCCAAGAATTGTACCTTATGGACTCATGTCCAGCTTCTTTTTTTTTTCTTTTTTTTTCTGTTTATAATTTTTTTATATAAATTTCTATTTTGATGATATAATGGGTATTACCCATGACAAACTTTAATTAGTCTTTTTATTTTATTTTTTATTAAATTTTATCATGAATAAATAACATACACCAAGTCAACTTTTCAAAATTTCTAATTGAAGTTTGAATTCAATATCTTTGATGATTCTTGAGATATATTTAATCACATATATATTAAAATTAATAACTTTTTTTTTATATAAATATGATCAATATAGTATTTTAAAATTGATAATTAAAAATTAATTTATATTAACAAAACATAATTTATATTTATTAATTATTATTTTGATATTATTAAGAATCAATCTTAATAATATAAGTTCACTCTTCATATCTCAAAACAAATCTTACAAAGTTTAAGATGCTTGTTTAACTCCCTTTTAGTCTTGGTGATAAAATTTCAAACAATATACACAACAAAGTAGAGTTTCATTTGAAAGAAAAAAAAATTAAAACCAAAATCGCATGGGAATATGCTCCTCTCCTTGGTGCTGATAGTCATAAAAGCATGCATCATATTGGTATCATATTATTAATTCATCACTTTTTTTTAATCTGTTCCCACATGCTTTGTGACTCATAGTGAGACAGTTCTTGGCAATTCCAACGTAATCATTGTAAATAAAAACAAAAATAGAAAACGCAATGGAGAATGGTTAATGTATGTTGAGTCATGCCCACTAATGGTGCCTATTAGCCCATCTATATGATTTGTAAAACAGTGTGCTTGCTTCCCCTGTTTTAACATATAAAATGTTTAACATAAAAAAAAATTAATTAAAATAGATATTCAAGTACACTTAGTATGCTTATATTTTAATGCGATGAATTAATACGACAATTTAGACATTCTTCCTTCATATATATTGCAGGGACAATCTATTTAATTGATTGTTGGATATTCAAGATTCACATATTCATATTTTTTTTTATATTAACATGATATTATTTATTTTGAATTTAAGTTTTCATAATTTTATTTTTAGTTATCTTTTAAAAAATCTCATATTGACAGGATTCTATATTTGGATTCACCATCTTTTATTATTAAATATTTATTGAGCTTCTGAATCGACTACTTAATCAATTATTGGCTCGGATACTAAAGTTGAACATTCGAAATTCACACACATACTTTTATATTAAAATAATATTATTTATTTTGAACTTAAAATCTCGTAATTTTTTTTTGGTCATCTTTTAAAATATTTTATACTAATAAAGACCATATATTTTATAAATATTTATTTATTTTCATGATAATGATATAAAACTTTATCTATATTTCAATATTGAAAGATTATGTTGTATGCCTACAAACAAAAGAGTGACCATATTTTATTTTCTTTATTGTTGAATAATAATTTATTAATTTTCTCATCATTTTTCTTATGGAATGATGTGAAATGGGAATAAAGGTAAAATAAAGTATAAACAGCCAAATTTGAAGTATGAACCGTCAAAATAGAAACAATCAGCAAACATCCGAAACTCCGAATAACATCGATCAAACAACGTTAGCCTCCACAAAAGCATCGCCACTTTGTTTATTGTTGAATGGATATTTTGTCTTCAGAAAAAGAACAGTTTCATTTTTGTGGTGGTAATTAATTGAATGCACGACCATGAATCAAACGTTTTATTCATCAACTTTCTTTTCCTTTTGAAAGTCAATTTTGTAATATATACAAGATTTTGACATGAAATTGCATAGAAATTATATAAATGTGATATACAACAATAAAACTACGAGTTTAATAGGCATAATACTTTTAATTTCCTTGTAAAAAAAAAGAGTACTTTTAACTAATTAAAAATTATCTTTGATATATTTTTTTAAAATAATTATTATAAAAATCAATAAAATAATATATAATTAAATTAGCAGAAAAATATATATTATGTATTATAAAACTTAACAAAATAAGGGTCTTTATTTTTATGAGAACCTGTGCTATAGTTGTATAAATCCAAATATTTATTCAAAAAGAAACAACCGCAGACAATTCATTAACATATACCAATGAATATATCCCTCATGGGAACGGTAGTTCTAAGTTTTTGTTTCTATTAAAATAATGTCTGATTAATAGAAATTACGTTTCACAAATATAGATTACTTTACGAAACAAAACCAATAAATATAAAAAACATAATTTGATGAATGATTTAAAAGTTTTAATAATATTAAATAGTTATATCAACCCCTATATAATAAATGCCAGCTATCTTGTGAAATAATATTTTGGGATTATTTTTTGACAACAGAATTTTTAAGAAATTGTTTGATTTTGTAATTGTGTGAGTAGTTCTAAAATTGTATAATTATAATATTTGAGAGATTAAAATTGTTCAATTAATATTTTGGGAACCAAAATCACATAATTACAACACTTATGGATTAAAAGCAAAATTAAACCATTTCTTTTACCTTTTTATCTAATTCATTTTTTTATTTATCATATTTATTTATAAATTAAAGTTTATTACTTTTAAAATAAATTATCAATAATTTCAAATAATATTGTATCATAATATAAACTATTTATCTTAAATAAAAACATAATTTATGTTTAAAAAATATATATATATATTTATAAAAATTTTAAATATAGTTTATATATAAGTATATAATATTTATTTGTATATATAATTTTTTAATACATACATATGTCCATAATTATAAATTACACTCTTTAAGAAAATTAGTTAATTTAGTTAAGAATATTAAATTTATCAATAATTTAAATTACTTTTTCACAATTAACCTTCCCTCTACCCGCTTAATCCTTTTCCATCTAATTAATTAGGATTTAGATCCTCTTAAACGAAAGAGAGTAATTTAGAAAATAAAATATACTCACAATTGTTGATTAAAAAAATCAATTGATAATCATAATAAAATTAAATACATATATAATTAAATTTAAAATTAATTATAATATTCATTATTGATTTTTAATCAATGGATATTATTGTTCTTTATTTCTTAAAGTGAAATCCCTTCACTTCAGAGGAACATATCCAATTAATTTTAAATATTTATTATCTTTTGTCTAGAAGAACTATTTATTAAATAAAAATATTTTAGAGAAAATAGAATTAATGCAATTGATAATTAAAAAAAGGTCTTATAAAAAGGATTAACAAAAAGTGTAAAAAGTTTTATTTATAAAAATTCGGAAGTAGTATAAAATTTAGTTATATGTAATAAAATATATAACATGTAAAATATATAGACTAAAATACTAGTTAATATAATTGTCCCTTTTGTAACCAAAGACAATAATTTTCTTTTCTTTTCCACCAACAAAATCTATTTTTTTTATTCATCAAAATTACATTGGACTAGATTTAAATTTATTTTTTTGAGGGGAAGACTAGATTTAAACTTAAAAATTGTGTATATACTATTACAATTCTCATCATTAAACCAATCCTTCCATCAAAATCTACTGTTGAATCATGTAAGTATTAATAAGATTCCATCTTGACTTTGTGGATGAAAAATGTTAAAAAAATGGTTTATTTCAATAATAATAGTTAGATACTTAGATGTCTAAAGGTTTTAATATTTCAATTATTAGTATATATATATATATATATATTTTTTTTTTAACAAAAGGTAAAAGTGAAGATTCCATGTGGTCTCTAATTCAGCCGAGTTCAAACTTGAGAACAGAAAAATGTAAAGTACCTAGTACTATACTGCACTCGAGTAGAGAATCTTATTAAAAGCATATTCCATCATCATAAACAGTAATAATTAGGTTCAGCAAAAAAAAAAAAATTGTTTGTTTGTCTAAAAATGTCTCTACTTTTCTATATAAAGGCACCCCAATGCACCACTTAAGATCACAAACTCCATCTCTCTTTCTGATTCATTTTTCATTCGTTGTGATCTTCCTCTTCCTCGTACACAGGTACTTACCATAACTTGTTCATTTCATGGGTCATGCAAAAGTCACGTTTCATGCTTTTTGGTTCCCTACGTGTTGTCTTTCCAATAGCCACTTTCTTCCACTCTTGTTGTGGCAGTATTAGTATCACCCCTCACGTGTCATCCACTAACCAAATCATAGATGTCAACGTCATCATTATTTGCGGGCCATGAAAAGAATTTATGGATGTTGTTTTGATTCGGCCCCTTGGTTTTAGGTTCATAGTTTCCATTGATTTTGTGTGTTCTTATATCTGTTCATCTGGGGTTATTGGTTTGGCTTTTCATGATCACAGGAGAGGGGCTGAAAGGTAGCAATGGCGAACAGGAACATGGAAAAGATGGCATCTATTGATGCACAGCTTAGGCAATTGGCTCCTGCCAAAGTGAGTGAGGATGACAAATTGATTGAGTATGATGCTCTTCTTCTTGATCGGTTCCTTGATATTCTTCAGGATTTACATGGGGAGGATCTGAAGGAAACAGTGAGTTTTTTTTCTTCTAGTTTTGACTAGCCTTATTTGAATAAAAACTGTGATGTTAGATTCATTTGTGTGCTCTTTATTTGATTTGGTTACTCATTTTTAAGTCTCTCATGTCTCAGTTTTGTTGGTGACAAAAAACATGTGACTTCTATTAATAGATTTTGATGTTAGGCAAATGGGTTGGGCTTTTTGGGAGTTTCAAGGGAAAATAGCTTTTTATTTGTTCTTGTAGCCAAGAAAAAGACCTTTGCATGATGGATTATGGAAGGGAGATACTCAATTCATTGATCGAATTCCAGTGAACAATATTTAATTTTAGTCTTATGGTTGTTTCCATTGTAAGTTTTGTTTCCCATACTAGATAATTGTTCCCTGAAAAGATTTTTGTGATTGTTTTATGATCACAAAAAAGAAAAAGAAATCTAGCAGTTGTACACCTTCAGAATGTGTTCTCTGATGTTAGCAATGAAGATCAAAACTTATTATGCATGTGTAGGAACTAAAATTTACAGTTTTCTCATATAAGGACTAACTAAAAATGGGACAACTATAGGGACAAAACAAAATGAATAGTTTAACATTTTGTTTTTAGATTTTAAATAGTTTAACACTTTATATCTTGGTGATTGAATGTGCAATATTATGTAGAAAAGTAGATATTGTCAAATCTTATGTTTGGCTGATTTTATAGTTTACCTTGAATTTGATAATATACTGGACTTATGTGTTCTTTCATTTCACTTTGACATTATGAGTTGGAAAACTGTTTCACCGTGATGGTTAAGAACTTAAATGTTGTTCTGCAGGTTCAAGAAGTGTATGAGCTTTCAGCTGAGTATGAAGGAAAGCATGACCCTAAGAAACTGGAAGAGCTTGGAAAAGTGATAACCAGTTTGAATGCTGGGGACTCTATTGTTGTTGCCAAGTCCTTTAGCCACATGCTTAACTTGGCCAACTTGGCTGAAGAGGTCCAGATTGCTCGGCGGCGAAGGAACAAGTTGAAGAAAGGGGATTTTGCCGATGAGAACAGTGCAACTACAGAATCAGACATTGAAGAAACTCTCAAGAGACTTGTGTTTGACTTGAAGAAGTCTCCTCAGGAAGTTTTTGATGCACTGAAAAACCAGACTGTTGATCTGGTGCTTACTGCTCATCCTACTCAATCAATTCGTAGATCTTTGCTTCAAAAGCATGCAAGGTTTGTTACAAAGAGCCTCTTTGGATACAAGTTTAGAAACATTTTTAAGAGCTTTTCTATTGAAAAATACTCTTTATTTTCGGTAGAAAAACTCTCAAAACTGTTTCTAACTTATATTTAAACAGACTTAAAATATAGTATTTATTAGCTTCAGTATTCACTTTTGTGTTTTCTTTGTTTACGCTGTTGCGTAACTAACAAACTTGAGCTTCTGGTTTTCATTTGCATTGCAGGATAAGGAATTGTTTATCTCATTTGTATGCCAAAGACATTACTCCTGATGATAAGCAGGAGCTTGATGAGTCTCTACAAAGGGAGGTGAATATCAAACCTTTAGGATTTTGTTTGATGTTTTGCCAAACTGCAATAAGTAACCATGACTTTTTTTTATCACATCAATGCCTGTGTTTTGGAGTTGATTCTGCAGAAGAAGAAATATTTAAGGGTGAAAAGAATGAAAGGTTCAATTCAGTCAATGGCATTGCTAACAAAAAAAAAATTGTTGGTTTTGTGTATGCAGATTCAAGCTGCCTTCCGTACAGATGAAATCAGGAGGACCCCTCCAACACCACAAGATGAGATGAGAGCAGGGATGAGCTACTTCCATGAAACAATTTGGAAGGGTGTTCCCAAATTTCTGCGCCGTGTTGATACAGCTTTGAAGAACATAGGAATTAATGAGCGTGTTCCTTATAATGCTCCACTTATTCAATTTTCTTCTTGGATGGGGGGTGATCGCGATGGTATGATTCTCATTTGTGATTAAAAAAAAAAAAAAAAGAGTATATGAATCTGTTCGTATACAAGCTAGAAATTTTTAGTTTTGAAAGTTTCTTTAAAGAAAATAAAGAGTATTTTTTAGTAGAGAAGTTTTGCAAAACATTTCTAAACTTATATCCAAACAAACTCTATATTATCTCAGTTTAGGAAAAATGGAATGATATGCAAACTTTATGTTTCAATATGATACAGGTAATCCAAGAGTTACTCCTGAAGTGACAAGGGATGTTTGCTTATTGGCTAGAATGATGGCTGCTAATTTGTATTATTCCCAGATAGAAGATCTTATGTTTGAAGTAAGCCATATCCATCTTGCATCCTTTTAAAATGACCATTGTGGATGATCTATTACTCTTGCATCATTTTGCTGATTTCCCCCTTCTTGTTTCTGTAGCTTTCTATGTGGCGTTGCAATGATGAACTACGTGTTCGTGCAGAAGAACTTCATAGGTCTTCCAAGAAAGATGAAGTTGCAAAACACTACATAGGTGTTTACCACACTCTTCAAATATGTGTTTATATTTATTTTGAATGAAGCTATAAACAATGATATGGAGCAAATTGTTGTCTACTTTTTGTCAGTTATCTAAATGGTGAAAATGTGTTGGTTAGTTTACTTTTGTGATAATCCTTACTTTCTTCATGATGCAGAATTTTGGAAAAAGATTCCCTCAAATGAACCATATCGTGTGGTGCTGGGTGAAGTAAGGGATAGGCTCTATCAGACTCGTGAGCGTTCTCGCCATTTGCTAGCTAATGGGTACTCTGACATTCCAGAGGAAGCCGCTTTCACCTATGTTGAGGAGGTAAATCCATGTTTATTCTTTCTTGTTAACAAGTATTACTATCCAGCTGCTAATTTTGGCATGTCACAAATCATCAATGTCCTCTAATTTCTTCCACTATATGATTTTGTATCTTGTGAAATTCTCTTAATAAGAGCCTGTTAAGTTTAAGAAAACATTCTTTGTTTTCATTTCCTATTTTCACAAATAATTATGACATGTAACATTCTTTTCATTATGTTCACTGTTTTCAAAGATTTGTACCAGAAACAGAAGAAAAAAATCTTCTTTTCATTGATTCTATACGAGTCCCTAGAAACAGGGGAAAAAAGTGATTTGTCAAACCATACAAATGTAAATGGACTTCTGTTTTCTTGTACTTTTCCATTAACATTGCTGGGTTTTATTGTACTATTACTGGCTATGTTTTTTGGTAACATTTAGTTCTTTAAAATGTTAGATTTTGGTTTAATGAATTTATGTTTCCTTGGATATTTATATTTGACAGAGCCTAACTAGAGTTAATTTGTGTAGTTCCTGGAGCCTCTTGAGCTATGCTACAGATCACTGTGTGCTTGTGGTGATAGAGCAATTGCTGATGGAAGCCTTCTTGATTTCATGAGACAAGTCTCCACTTTTGGACTGTCAATAGTGAGGCTTGATATCAGGCAAGAGTCTGATCGTCACACTGATGTGATGGATGCCATAACCAAGCACTTGGAAATTGGCTCCTACCAGGAATGGTCTGAAGAGAAAAGACAGGAATGGTTGTTATCTGAGTTAAGTGGAAAAAGGCCTCTATTTGGACCTGACCTTCCCCAAACTGAAGAAATCAGAGATGTTTTGGACACATTTCATGTCATAGCAGAACTACCATCAGACAGCTTTGGAGCCTACATCATATCAATGGCAACTACACCATCTGATGTGCTAGCAGTTGAACTTCTCCAACGTGAATGCCACATCAAGAATCCATTAAGAGTTGTGCCATTGTTTGAAAAGCTCAATGATCTAGAGGCGGCACCGGCAGCTTTGGCGCGGTTGTTCTCGATAGACTGGTACAGAAATAGGATCAATGGGAAGCAAGAAGTGATGATTGGTTACTCAGACTCAGGAAAAGATGCTGGAAGATTCTCTGCAGCATGGCAGCTGTATAAGGCTCAAGAGGAACTTATAAAGGTTGCCAAGAAATTTGGTGTTAAGTTAACCATGTTCCATGGTCGTGGTGGAACTGTTGGAAGAGGAGGTGGACCTACTCATCTTGCTATTCTGTCTCAGCCTCCAGACACAATCCATGGATCGCTTCGTGTCACGGTCCAAGGAGAAGTTATTGAGCAATCATTTGGAGAACACCACTTGTGCTTTAGAACACTGCAACGTTTCACTGCTGCCACTCTAGAGCATGGCATGCATCCACCAATTTCTCCTAAACCAGAATGGCGTGCCTTGATGGATCAGATGGCTATCATTGCTACTGAGGAATACCGTTCGATTGTGTTCAAGGAACCGCGCTTTGTTGAATATTTCCGGCTGGTAAGGACCATATTTAGCAAACAACTTCATTATTTACTTGGTGTCTCTTTGGATACAAGTTTAGTTAAAAGGATTTCTGAGAACTTCTCTACTAAAAGTAAGGAATTTCTTATGGTAGAGAAACTTTCAAAAATACCTCTGTCTTGTATCCAAACAGACTCTTGCTCATTAAGTTCTTATGAGTTATGACAGTTTATTCATGCAAACTCTTGTTCAAAAGTTAGAAGGAACTTATTTTGATTAGTTTCTAATTTTCTATACGAAGCTTATTGAAATAAGCTAAATTGATCATATAGAAAATTTGTAAGTTACATGTATAAGCTCAAACAAGTTCTTCTAGATACCCCCAAGATATAGTATACTCATCAACTTCCCTGTTAAGTAAAATGACATTTAAATTATAACAATTATGTCAACTTTGTTTCATGCAGGCTACACCAGAGTTGGAGTATGGAAGGATGAATATTGGAAGTCGACCAGCAAAGAGAAGGCCTAGTGGAGGCATTGAAACACTGCGCGCAATTCCTTGGATCTTTGCATGGACGCAGACAAGGTTTCATCTTCCTGTGTGGCTAGGCTTTGGAGCAGCATTTAAAAAGATTATTGAGAAAGATGTTAGAAATCTTAATGTGCTGCAAGAGATGTACAATCAATGGCCTTTCTTTAGGGTCACACTTGATTTAGTGGAAATGGTGTTTGCCAAAGGAGACCCAGGAATCGCTTCTCTGAATGATAAGCTCCTTGTTTCAAAGGATCTATGGCCATTTGGGGATCAACTGAGGAGCAAATATGAAGAAACTAAGAAGCTCCTACTTCAGGTAATGCTACTTTTACCATCTAAACATTCAACATTTTCTATTCTTATACTCATAAAGCATTTGTTTATCCTTCCAAATTACAAAAGGTATAGGCACTTGTTTGTACTCTCAACTATATATCATGATTACTTATAGAATGAGAGAGGATTTCAAGTGCTCTAAATGTTTCCTTAACTAGTGTCCATATCCTACAAGCAATCCCTTTTTCCATACCATTCACCAACATTTTGCCCAATATTAACCTTTCAACACCTAGTACTTTGATCAACTAGTATGAAGTTGTTCTAATTTAATTGGTTGTCTCAAGTTTTGTTCTAAATTTGCAACCATGTTAAATACTTGAAATGAGAGTTTTCCTTTTTATAGTAATCCTATCTGGGTCAAACAAAATTGCTAGACCGATTAATCATTACCAACAAAAAACTTTCAACACCTAAGAATGAGACTCAATAATAATTTCACAAGATGATTTTTGTTTTGTGCTGTACCTAACTGTAGGTGGCTGCACACAAGGAAGTTCTCGAAGGGGACCCCTACTTGAAGCAAAGACTGAGACTTCGTGATTCCTACATTACTACCCTCAATGTTTTCCAAGCTTACACATTGAAACGTATCCGTGATCCCAACTACAATGTGAATGAGCGCCCCAGCATATCAAAGGAATCTGTGGAGAAGTCTGTTGTGTCGAGTAAATCAGCTGATGAACTTGTGACACTGAACCCAACAAGTGAATACGCCCCTGGTTTGGAAGACACCCTCATTCTCACCATGAAGGGTATTGCTGCTGGCATGCAGAACACTGGTTAAGCTTCACTCATTTGCTTCCCTTGTGTTTTACTTTTTACGTGTCAGGATAGCATAAATATGGTTGCAGCACTGAGAGGGCGTGTTTTTTTTTTGTTATAGCATAAATACACTCTTTTTCTTGGTTATTATTATGTTACCCCACCTTTCTGTAAAAATATGGTATGCTGCTCTACAATTCTATAAGAGAGAGCTACCATACAAATGAGTCAATGCGATGATAGTCATGTTTCCATGCGAAAATAATGCTTAGTAATGTGCTGCTACCCCTTCTTGTACTTCTTTGTATTTTGGTTTCACAAGGTCGTGTTTTGTTTTCTTTGCCATCTCTTAAAAGCAAGAGATATACAATCAATCTCTCTATATATAAAGGAAGTGGACTCTACTTACTTCAAGGATAAGTTTTAGTTCTATATACGTTAAATTTTAACGATCAAACTATTAATTTAAAAGTTAATGTATAGATTAAGGGGGTGTATTGGTTTAGGATTTCGTAGGATTTTAAAAGACTTTTTTTGAGTAAAAAAAATCATTAGTATTCAATCAGGATTTTATGTCACTTAAAAACAATCTAGTGGTATTCAATAAGGATTTTCAAGATTTTTTAAAGAGTCCATTAAAATTCATTGGTATTCATTTGAGATTTTTTACAACTTAAAAACAATCTATTGGTATTCAAAAATATAAGGATTTTAAAGGATTTTTGTGTGAGAGGGATTTTGAAGGACTTTCTAATGTTATCTATAAATACCAAATTCATAAAACAATCCCATCCAAACCTATCGGATTTTGAAGGATTATTTGAAGTGACTTTTCAAGAATTTTCAAGTGAGTTTTTAATATTTTTTTTTCTATGCTCTTGTCTTCTCCATTTTGTCTCTGCTAATAATATTACACTATTATTCGTTGCTCATATATAATATTGTAGTATTATTCTCATCCCATTCCCCTATTTTGTGAAACTCCGATATGTAAATGATAGTGTCATTGGTTTGCTCTATTTTTCTGTTCGTTCTCTTTAATTGACTTGCTTTATTTTATTCTATGTAGTTGAATTTGTTTCTTTATATAACACAAAAAAAATGCTTAAAATTTTAACTTTTAAGTGGTAATTTTTTTTATAGCACACGTCAAGAAAATAAAAAAGTGAAAGATGAAATTGATATCATAATCTCTACAATATATATATATATATAAGATGAATTTGTTAGGGTTTCTGTGAGTAGAATGAGATGAAAATTGATCTTAGTTGGGGGAAGAACCCTCTTAGCATAAAAATTGTAATTTATCTCCTTCCCTTAAGTTTGTTACTCTTATTCCCCTCCTTTTATGACTCAACAATTATTTTATTTTTTTTACTATGAATTTTTCTTTTTATTTTTATATTGTGAAATTAGGACTTTTTTA